GAAATCACCCCTCAGGGGGGATGGCCATGCTGCAATCCCTTCTCCTCCATTCTCCTCTTAGGATCTTGGGTACGCATGCACACGCACCCAGCGTGAGTTTTAAGCCACTGGGTCCGGGTCTCGAACCATGGTCGACTACGTGGGAGTCCAGTGACATAGCCATTATGCTAACTGCTGGTCCCGGGGGAGGATCTGCTTATGTTGATTCTATTTGGTGTCCTTTGTGTTTCCTGTGCCTGGATGTTTGAATGTTTTTTCTAGGTTCGGAAAGTTTTCTGCAAGTATTTCATGCAATAGATATTTCTACGCCCTTATCCGATTCATTTTCTGGAATATCGGTAATTTGGATATTTGAGCATTTAATAGTAGCTTGTATTTCCCCCATATTGACCTCATTTTTTTTGTCATTTTTTCATTGTCTTTAGTGGTTTTGTCTAAGTCAGCAGCTTTGTCTTCAAGATCAGAGATTCTGTCTTCTCCTTGGTCTAACTGCTATTAATACTTTCAAGGGAGATTTTGATTTCTTATATTGTTTGACTCTTTTTTTTATGACATCTCTCTCTCTCTATCTTTACTAGATTTTGCCATAGGACACATGCATTCACCTGAGAGACAGAAAGGGACAGAGACAGAAAGTGATAAATCACTCCCCAGTGGGAATGTCCATGCTACAGTCCCTTCTAATCCATTTTCCTCTCAGGATTTTTGAGACGCATGCCCCCAAATGAGTTTCAAGCCTTTAGCCAGGACTTGAACTGCAGTCAGCTATGCAGGAGTCCAGTGATGAAACCATAATGTCTACTGGTCCCATATGGCATCTCTCTTTATAGAGTTCTTGCTTCAAGTTATTGAATTATTTTCTCATTTCTCAGAGTTGTTTGTTTGCTTTTTAAAAATTGCATCTTAAGTTTAGTTATGATAAATATTCTTTTTCTGACACTTTAGTGATTTCCTCTGTTTTTTCTTTTTTTTTTTCCCCATTGTTGATGATGAGTTATTGTGTTCCCTTGAGGGAGTATTTCCTGGTTTTCACATAGTTCTTAAGGCTCTGTTGTGATTTTATTCACTTCTTGCTAAGTCTTTTGGAGTAGGGGTCTGTAGCTGTGTTCTCATGTGCTTCCCTGTGCTGTAAATTAGGTCTACGCCAATTTCCCTCTTCTACTGTGGATACCCGTATGGTATTCACAGTGGGAGTCTTGTGTTTGGATTTACAGAGAGGAGATTCTCTCTTTTGTGTGGTGAGTTCACTGTGGGAAGACAATTCCTCTAGAGCATCCCAATGTTCAGATGTTCAGTTCCTGTGTGACAGGGGGAATGTAAGGTGGTAGCTAAAATTGCAGGCTGTGTACAGGGCACCACATGGACTGAATCAGCCCTTCCTTTTGCAACCTAGACTGGGCAGTGGGCTCCTGGTGTGGAATGGCTGCCAGGAGGCCTGTTATCTCTCTGCTCCTCCTAGCTCTGCAATGGCAGAATCAAAGTGTGGAGTCTGCTGGGGATGAATCAGCCCTCCTCTAGCACCAAGATTGGGATAAGGATGCATAAGGATTCCAGTTGGTTAATGGCTGCCAAGGTCTGTTAACTCTCTGCTCTGTCTATCTCTGCCATTGCAGGATCAAAGATGGGAGTGTTAGGGCTGAATCAGTCCCTCTTCCCACATTCTAGACTAGATAGTGGCCATCTATTGGGAAATGGTTACTGGGAGGCTTATTATCTCTCTGCTTCTTCTAGCCCTACAACTGTGGGATCAAGGATGGGGGTGTTAGGGCTGAATCAGACCCTCCTCCCACACTTTAGGCTGGACAGTGGGCTTCTGTTTAGGACTGGCTACCAGGAGGCCTGCTATCTCTTTGCTCCTTCAAGCTCTGCAATGTTAGGATCTAGGGTGGGGGTTTGGGGGTCAAATTGGCCCCTTCTCCTGTACCATAGAAAGGGCAGGAGGCTTCTGGTGAGGATTGACTTCTGGGAGACCTGTTTTCTGTCAGCTCCTTCTACCTCTGCAATGTCAGGATCAAGGGTGGGGGTGCTGGGGCTGAATCAGATCCTCTTCCCATACCCTGAACTGGTAGGGGGCGTCTGCTGAGGAATGTCTGCCAGGAGACCTGTTACCTCTGCTCTTTCTAGTTGAATTAGTCCCTCTTCCCACACCTTACATGTGGCAGGAGGCATCTGGGGGAAATGGCTGCCCAGAGGCCTGTTATCTTTCTCTTCTTTCTAGCTCTGCAACTTCAGGATCAAAGGTGGTGCTGCTGGGGCCAAATCAGCCCCTCCTACCACACCCTAGACTGGGCAGTGGACTTCTGGAGGGGATTGGCTACCACTATCTGAAGACTTGTTGAGTCTAGGTCTGTTTTTTCTTTCCTTTTCTTATACTCTTATACATAGGAAAATAAATTGTACCCACTTTACTGAATGTTCTCCATCTGAATAATCTACTAAACTGGAGATATTTTCCCCTAGAGAAGATTTATGTTTGTCTCTACTGGGACTCAAGAATTCATGTGACCTAGGATATCTTTGGTCTCCTGGGAGGGTCCTGACTTCACTCAGAGGCCTCATCTTCAGCTCTCCACAGTGAGCATCTTGATCTCAATATTGACAGCAGGCTTTGTCTGTGGGTAGACTCTGCCTTCCTTGTGTGAATTCATGTGACCTAGGATATCTTTGGTCTCCTGGGAAGGTCCTGACTCAGTGAAGACTCAGAGGCCTCATCTTCAGCTCTCCACAGTGAGCATCTTGATCTCAATATTGACAGCAGGCTTTGTCTGTGGGTAGACTCTGCCTTCCTTGTGTGCTTTGTCCTCATGGCTCCTTGCTCCAGTTTTACTCCTTATTCTTTTTATATACACTGTTTTCCTCACCCTTGGAATGTTCCTGTTGTCTGTGAGCTCATCAATCATACATTTCTGTTTCTTTTTATAAACTCAGTCTCTATTTGCATTTGACAGGGTCATGCTTCAGAATATGCAGTCCACCATCTCCTCTGATATGGAAGCCTTTATGTATGTTTCTATGCTGAATCTTAAGGGAAGCAGGTCTAAAATCTGGCTAAGACTCTTTTTTGTTTGTTTTACTTTGCTTTTAATTGTCACAGGGTATGCACATTCACCAGAGAGAGATGGAGAGACAGAGAGAGGGAAGGGGACAAAGAGAAACAAAGGGAATCCCCCATGGAGAATGGTCACCACCATCCTCTCTTCCCCACCTCTTTATCCTGTCAGGATTGGGACACACATGTACTTGTGCCCATTATGTTTCTCAAGCTACCGAGGCTGGGATTTGAACCATGGTCACCCACATGAAATCTTGCTGCCTTGACCACCAGACCCTGGGACCGGCCCAGATTCTTTTAACATTAAACAAAGTTGATGTACATAAAACAGACTATTGATGTGTGTGTCTGTGAGTTGTTGAATTTAACTGGCTGTGGTTCTATCATGAGCCAATGTTTCCACTTACCATCTTCTGAAGACAAAACCATAGAAGAGAATTGAAGACTTTTGATCCCGGATACTTTAGCACTTGCTTATTGTTATTTCATCATAAATTTTATTATATTCTGGAGAAATATTAGTATTTTAAAAATGTTTATTTTATTATTTTTTCAAAATATCTTCTATTATTATTTTTTATGTTCAATCACTGTATATCATTAGAACATACAAAATGAGTTTTCCAAGCATGAATACACTGTATATATAATATATATATAATATATATATTAGTCTAGTTAAAGGTATGACCATAGTCCATTATTGTGTCCCTTAAATGTTTTGCTTCCTTCTTTTCCCTCTTGATTTCCTCCCTCTCACCTCCATTTCGCACCCTCCTCCTACACTGTCTCCAGTATACACAGTTCAACCATGCTTTTATACCTTCCAATTCTTCAGTTTCTGCCATAGAGTACAGACAGACATTCAGTATATATTGAGTGGGGACATACAATGTCTCTCTTTCATAGTCTGACTTGCTTCACGTAGCAGTAAATATTCCATATTCATCTACTTTCTATCAAATGCCAGAGTCTCATTGAGTTTCATGCCTGGGCAGTATTCCATAGTGTATATGTCCCACCCTTTTTCAATCCATTCATCTGTTCATGGGCATTTGGATTGGTTCTATGTCTTAGCAATTGTGAATGATGTTGCAATAAACATAGATGTGCAAGTGTTATTCCAATTGAGTGTATTCCTATCTTTGCGTAGATACCCAGAGGTCAAATCTCTCGATCATATATAGTACTATCTGTAGGTCTTTGAGGAATCTCCATATTGTTCTCCAGAGTGGCTGTACTGATTTAAATTGCAATCACCCAGTGTAATAGAGTTCCTTTTTCAACCTTGCCAACACTTATCATTCTTTATTTTTTTAAATCTTAGCTATTCTTACTGGTATTATGTAGTATCTCATTGTGGTTTTGATTTGTATCTCCCTTATGTTAAGGGATGTCGAGCATTTTTTTCATATGCTTTTTGGCTGTTCTTTTTGGCTGTGTATCTTAGGGAGTTATCAGTTCAGCTCATTATCCCATCTGAAATTTTTTTCCTTTTTTTTTTTTTTTTGGTAAGCTGCTTGAGCTCCCTGTATATTCTGATTATCAGTACCTTATTGGACACAGTTTGCAAATATATTCGCCCATTCTGAGAGTTGTTGACTCACTCTAGCTATTGTTTCTTTTTCTGCACAGAAGTTTTTTAACCTGATATATTCCCACTTGTTTTTTTTTTTGAGATTATTGCTTGTACTTTGGGGGTCTTATTTAAGAAATCTTTCCTTACTCCAATGTCTCTGAGAGTTTCCTTGTGTTATTATTATTTTATTTTATTTTTTTTGACAGGTTTTTGCTATAGGGCGCGTGCACTCACCAGAAAGACAGAGAGACAGAAAGCGAGAAATCACCCCCCAGGGGGGATGGCCACGCCGCAATCCCTTCTCCTCCATTCTCCTCTCGGGATCTTGGGCATGCACGCACACGTGCCCAGCGTGAGTTTAAGGTACCAGATCTGGGACTCAAACCATGATCGGCTACGTGGGAGTCCAGTGACATAGCCATTACGCTAACTGCTGGTCCCCTTGTATTATTATATTTAAAAAAGTGTTTTCAGGACTGTACAACTTGTTGGGAGATTTTTTAATCAGAGAAATACTATATTTACAGATTTCAAAAGATTTTTGTATTATATTTCAATGCACAAAAACTTTTAAAAAGTTTAGTTCTTGAGTAAATTGAGTGATATGTTAATGTTTAAACACTTCAGTCTCAAACACAATGTCATTTTATAGGCAATGTACTGTAATTCACCCACTAAATAACAGTGAGTAAATAATTCCTGATCTGTAACTATGATCCAGGCATCCTGCCTTCTAGTCCAGTGGTCTTTCTCAAAATTATCATGAGCTTTCTGGGTATACAACACAGTAAAGTACAGAATAAACTGCACATACTAAAGAGTAAGAAGCAAAACAAATTGCTCACTCTGAACAATACAGAAAATAACAGAAGTAGCAATCTGAAATACAGCTGACTACAAAATAAAATACACAGCAGTGTTTTGATTAGGGCTCTTCTTAGCCAATTTGCTTTGGCCATTGTTGTGCAACATCTCTGAAGTTCCATGTACTTGATAAGGCTCTCTTTGAAATTCTTTACTCTTCCCTCTGAGCCCTCAGGCCCACAGTTGGACCCCCGTGCTAGACTGTACAGTTCATTGGTATAGTGGTCATTCCTTCTCTCCACCATCAGACCCTCGATCAAGTCCATCAGCTCCTTCACTTGGTCATCCCAATCACTCCCTTTAGCTCGGTTATTAAAGGCACAGGCTCGTCCCCCACATGCTGCCACCAGCATGGTTAGGGCTTTGTTATCTGAGTCACGGATATAGTCCACCAGGGAGCCACCATCGAGGTCTTCCTTGTGGGTAAAGAGGACAATTGTGTGTCTCATGGCATCCTTTCCAAAGATCTCCTTCACTCTCTGTGCAGCCTCCTGGTCTTGGATGGTGAATCGGCCCAGCTGGGTCACCAGAAGCAGCACGTGGGGTCCTGGTGCAGAGAGTAGGTAGCACCTCTGCACTTCCTTGTACAGGGCTTCAGAGTGATCCTTCCCAGAAAACACATCTGCTGTGTCCAGAACAACCATCCCCCTGCCCCTCCAGGCTCCTTAACTCTCACTGCAAGTCTTTGTCACAGTTTGGGCACCCAGTCTTGACTCAAAGGCCTGCTTCCTGAGGATGCTGTTCCCTGTGGCACTTTTGCCGGTTCCCGTTTTGCCCACTAGGATGATTCTCAGCTCTGATCCTCTGGCATATTGGATCTTCGCAGACAGTCCTGTTGGGAACAAATTTACTGTGTCATTTCTGTACTGATCAAGACAATAGAGTCTCTTCAGTTATAAGAAGATAGTCCACATTATGGGAAAAGACATCTTCACTACTTATGTATGAAATTAAAGTTATTTTCATGATAAAATGAAATGTAATACTGTGTTTGAAAACATCTCATTTTCTCCAGGACTGCAGTTATTTTCATGTGGGATACTAGCAAAAGCACAGTATGAGGACGAGATGCATTTAGAGCTGTACCTCACCATGCAAGCCTTGTTTGGATCACTCAGTTTTGTCTTGTCTCAAAGACAACTTTTCTGGAGACCATAGATGTGAAGTCAAGATTTTGGGTTCCATTTTGTGGTACCCATGACCAGAGAGAGCTACTCTCACCCTTTGACCGGGCTGACTGTGGTCATGAGTCGCAGTGAAATGACTGGACCCTGGGAATATTTGAAGGAGCAGTGTGTAGTGATTCTCATGAAGAAACATCTGGTAGCTTATACTTTGCTTTAGAAAGGATAGCATAGGTTTTCCATAAATAGGCACTTAATATGATAAACTCCTCTACTCTTCTTTCCTATAAGCCTTCAACATATTTAAGGTTCTGTGGTGAGGAATATATGGGAACAGAGGTATGAAGGAGTTTAAGGCTCCTAGAAAAACTTGTTTCAGGGACATGAAAGAGGAGTGCACAGGAGCCAAGCCACTGTTCTGTTTCTCCTGGTCCATGTGGTGTTATAGGAATAACTCGTCTGGGGAGCTCTGATGGCAGAATCAAAATGAATCAAAGATTTACTTTGTGGTGGAGACAGGAGCAACTTGCAAGGCAGGGGAGAATCTGAGAGTTCATCACTTGTTTCTTTTACTGTAAGGGAGTCGCCTTTGACCTGTGTGAGCAAAACGGAGTAGTAGGATAAGAGAAGAATCTTTCTGGCAGTAGGTCGTGGAGGGGAATTTCCAAGAGAGCTGAGAGTCTCCTGCAAAGCCCATTGCCATTGGGTTTAGCTATTCCTTATTCTCATGTTCGAGGGAGACAGTTGGAGAAAGGATGTGTACACAGTGTAGATACCAGAGCTGGAAAGGAACTTAGCTTGCATGGAGGAAACGAGCTTTCTCACAGGCAGTATGCAGTGGTTGAGGATAAAGAATTCAGAGACACATTGCTGTGTTCTAGCTGCCCCCTAATTGCTAGTCCTATGATCTTGGGCAACTGCCTAATTTCATTGCACCTGGAGAAAATAATGGTCCATACCATGAGTGTTATTCTAATTAAACAATGTAATATATGTAAAAGACTTAAAGTAGTGCTGGCACTTTTACCTGCTTAGTGAAGTTATACTAGTGATATTTAAGGCAACCTCCCGCAGATGAAGTAACTGCGGCCTCCCACTATTATGTAGCATAGTCATCCAGCAAATTACTAATAATGACATCTGCTGAATACTGAGCACTTATGATGTCCCAGGCTCTGTGCCAGGTGATTTACCTGCATTCCTCATGTACTCCTTCTAGCAGTAGTGTGAGCTGGTGTTAGGGGCTTCCATGTCCACCAGGGGTCTTAGGTCCAAATGACCTCAGGCTCACAAGACTGCCATGGGCCTCACTGGACATCCATCTACTCAGAAGGAGGGAAACTTTGGCTTGCCAGAGGGACGGTCTCAGGCCTTCCTCCCAGTGGGAGGCCATGCAGAGATTCATAGAACACTATACACTGCCACCTGGAGATGTCTCAGGGCAAGAAGAGGGCACCTTGGGCAGGAACAGGAGCTGTTTGGGTCCGAAAAAGCTAATGTCTCTTGTAACACCCCTGAGTGTAGCTTCCAGTGTCCCTGCAAGAAACATGGTGCTTAAAAGAGTCGCTCTGCTTGGGTAAGCCCAAAACGTAGCTTTCTGGGACCAGCAGTTAGCATAATGGCTATGTTGCTGGAATCCCATGTAGTCAACCGCGGTTCGAGTCCTGGACCCAGTGGCTTAAACTCATGCCAGGCGCGTGTGTATGCATGCCCAAGATCCCGAGAGGAGAATGGAGGAGAAGGGATTGCGGCATGGCCATCACCCCTGGGGGGTGATTTCTCACTTTCTGTCTCTCTGACTCTGTCTTTCTGGTGAGCGCACGTGCCCTACAGCAAAAACCTCTCCAAAAAAAAAAAAGAAAAAGGAAAAGAAAAAAAACCACATAGCTTTGTAACACATATTTGTTTCTGGTCTAGATAGGAAGGGACTTCAAAAAGCATATAAGAAAATGGAAGTACAAATTCATTTTGTGCAAAAAAATGTTGAAACCCAAGCATGATTTTTTAATTAGCATTTTCCACTAACTTTCTGAAGGCCACTCCACAACTTCACCCAAAGGGAAATGTTCATCTCTACTAGCAAAGTTCTTACTAGCGTTGGAGAAGTTTTGTTCTGATTAGATTACCAGAGAGACAGACCTAGAAAGCTTAACCAAAGGTTAAACCCTCAGGCAGAAAAGGGAGAAATGTTCATGTTTTAACCCATAAGTTCCTTTTTTTTTAACTCTATTTTACCTTACTGTTCACAAGAACCTGAAAGTTGCCCAAGAACTTAGAGCTATTAAAAGTCACAAATTGTGTAAGTGGAAAGCTGGTATTCGGCCTATGCATATTCCATGCTTGAAGCATGAGTGTGCTGCCCTGCAGCTGTACCACCCTTGCTGCATGTATGTAAGTGCTTTGTCTCTCAGCTAAGTTGGCTGCAGTTCATGGGTACCTTGTCCTGTTTTCTGCATGCCTAGAAAACCTCACTATGCACTTGTAATGAGGAGTTGTGCTTAAAAGGACACAGGTATTCTCCTTGGCATTCTGAAAGCAGCAGCCAAGCAGCTCCTGACGTAGCCCTCTAAGGGCTTAGAGGTGGCCAGACTGCACCTTCACCTTCCACCTGGTCTATGAAAGCAGAGAGCAAGAGAGTCCTTGAAAAGAATTGATGAGTTGCTGCCTTTCCACTCAGTGCCGTGTCATTCTTTCCCCTGAGTGAGAATAGGGAAGGGTACGTTCTCCATCCTGAGCCAGATGTGAGGGTCTCTGAAACAGCCCCTCAAACACATCCAGCGTGCCAGAAGAAGTTGAGAGACTGAAATGTCATTTTGGTAGTGGATGTTTGCTGAACTGCTGAAATTTGCAAACCAACCCAGGTACGGTGAAGTGACAAGAATTCTGGGTCAAATGCTTGAAAGAAATAACAGATGCTGAGGGATACTAGCTAGACAAAGAGCCGAGTCCTAGCCAAAGAAGTCACCGGAGAGTGCACACCCATGGCAGAGAAGCATGTCGCCGGCAGTCCCTGTGGGGTCTTCGGTTTCTGTACTTCGTGACATTGGCCGATTGCTATAATCAAGCCCTTGATGGTCAGGCAGGATCAGCCAAGGATGGCTACCAAGACAGCACTCAGGGCCTTGCCCTCTTCCTCCATCACCCCTCCTCTTGCCCAACGGACAGGGAGGAATGACAGGAAGGTTGAGGAAGCAGAGCTGGAAGGAGAGGAAGATTCTAGAAGGTCCAGAACAAAGGAGGCTGAGCTGTAAGAAAGAGAACCCAAATTGAATGGAAGTTTGACATTAGGCTGGACTGACTGCTTCAACATCTCATATATGTGATGAGTGCATTTAAAAAATGAAAATGTGGGGACCAGCAGTTAGCATAATGGTTATGTCGCTGGACTCCCACGTAGTCGACCGCAGTTCGAGTCCCAGACCTGGTGGCTTAAACTCACGCCGGGCGCATGTGCGTGCGTGTCCAAGATCCTGAAAGGAGAATGGAAAAGGGATTGCGGCATGGCCATCCCCTCCGGGGGGTGATTTCTGCCTTTCTGTCTCTCTGTCCCTGTCTGTCTGTCTGGTGAGCGCACGCGCCCTATGGCAAAAACCTCTCCAAAAAAAAAAAAAAAAGAAAAGAAAATGTGGAACGTGTATTCTACAGAATACTACTCAGCCATAAAAAACAATGAGACCCTGACACTGATAGAAAGGGGACTTAAATACACTGCTCTTACGGTCCGTGTTCATCACGAAGGAATCTGCCCAGTATGGCATCCGGAAGTGCAGGTGCAGGAGTTATGGTAGTGCTGGGAGGAAGACCGTGTTTTGTTTGGGTCTCTTAGAGTTCAGCCTTTTCAGTCAACACGTTCTAGACATGATGAAGCCAGAGGCATAGAGAGCTTCTCACAGACTGAGTGTAGGTGAACATGGAGAGGTGAGACCCAGACTCCTCTTGATGTAAGAGACTGGAAACAGCGCTGCGAAGAACAAGACGAATAGCAAGCGTGGAGTGGGGAAGGCTGGTAAAGATGCAGAAACCCATACAGGTTTGTGTATGGGACAGAGGACAGAAACAGATAGGGGAGGGGAAGAGAAGACAGAGGAGGGCGGAGAAGGGAAGGGAGAGAGAAAGTGGGAATAGGGGAGAGACAACCTGCAGACAGGAGGGAGAGAAAAAAGGAAAGAATGGCAGGAGGAGGAAGATAGCGCTAAAAGATCAGCACGTGATCGAGAAGGTGGGAAGTGTTATTTTAGTTCCTCACAGAATATTTTAGCAATTTTGAGCTGCTGCTGGTGGTGGTGCGAGTTAGCGTGAGATCCCTCACTCTTTTCCGTTTTGCTCAGCCTTCACCGAAAGAGCCAACTACATACATACCACACACACACACACACACACACACACACATGATGTCACTTTCTTACCCGAGTGACTCTGTTCATTTTGATCCATTGACCTCCCTGAGAAACAGACAAGAAGTGATTAATTTTCAGTTCTGAATCATAAAAGACACTTCTGTTTTAGTAGCTGACTACTCCTCTCTGACAGGAGGGGTGGGAAGAGAATTCCTACTCACAGTGCTGCAAGCCGCCCAGCGGTTTTCCCTTGCAGACCTTACCCCCTTCTTTTTATTTACTTATTCATCCCCATTTTTCTCACACTCTGCCACTTCCCACCCTCCTCCCACACTGTCTCTGGTGTCTGCAGTTGCTTTCCATTCCTTCCCCCTCTGACACACATTTTATTGATTCACAAAAATCTTAATTTAACAACCTTAATTCATTCTTCCTTTCTTTCTTTCTTTCTTTCTTTTTTTTTTTTTTTTGAAAGTTTTCTGCTATA